GTGGAAAGTCTATAGTGAGACATTTGCTGTGGAGGTGAACTTCGTTGAACCATAAGAGAAAGCTGAAAGAAGGGACACACGTAAAATTTCTCTCTCTTCCTGGAGAATGTCTTGCTGCTTCAGTATGAAGTGAAGCAGTCTCCTTTTGGTGTACTTTATGTATTTCTGTGTAGATACAACTTCTCAAATAAACTTACAAAGTTCTGTTGTGCAGAGCAATAATAGTCTGAAGAGTTCCTTAGTGTCAGCTGACTGATATGTCATGTTAATGAGCTGTTGGATCCTTTGGTGCTTAGATGGCCCTATATAGGTAATCCCTGCTTTATTAATCCAAGACAATTGTCTGTCATTAAGCAAGAGCATTAACCAGATGGTGGGTGGACACCAGCAGTCTGCAGGAGACTGCTGGAAAAGTCTGACACACCTTCCCTCAGCATCAGGGGTTTCCATAGGTCAGTAGAATGGGAGTTTGGAGGGAGAAATATTAGTCTGCCTGTACCAGATTACCACTTCATAAGTGGAAGTCTTGGTATTGAACCATGCTTCATCAGAAATCCAGTGATGTAGGGTTTTGGGCAACACCTGGCCTGGGACCTGACTGGGGGGGTTTGAGGCTGCACAGCTGCTTCTCTGCTGCTGTACCTCCCCACAAATGGTTGAGATGGCCACATGCCCTAACCCTTCCTTAAGTCTAGATTTCATCAGCTCATGAGTGTGCCAACTGCCTGGGATCAGTTAGCCAGGCTTGCCTAAATACCTGCATGTGCTGGGGTTTGATCTGTGCACTTGCTTCTTTGAGCTAATACTGCAAATGCTCACTGACCCCTCTTGAGCTCAACTAAGACCTGTAATGTACAAACTTCAGAATACTTACTCTGCTTCCAATTGTTCTCAGCAGTGCAGCTCTTCTGTGGAGACTGCTCATGTCTTCCTCAATGTGAAATACGTGCTGAGGTTAGCTTCTTGGTTCTGTTGCTTCCTCAGTCTTTTCGTTGTTAGGAATGATGAGTGGAAGGAGAATGACATAGCTTTCCATAGCTAATACCTACTTAATGAAGTAAGCAGAGAGATCACATACCTTCCCTGCCCTCGCTAGAGGGTAGTGGTACACTGAAGTACAGGTATGGACTAACTTTTGTTATTGCTGTGTCATTACCTGGTATTTAGGAGCTGGGCTGTTGTAAACTATCACAGTGTTGGAAGCTGCTTCTAGTAACACTGCATTTTGAGTGTGGAGGCTGAAATTTGTCTTAAATGGTCAACAGTGTTCCACCAATTGTCTGCAGTGCTAGGTGCAGGATAGAGTGAGCCTGAGGCACTTAGGTACATGCGCCCAAGCTCCTGGGCAAGACAGCCCCAGCTAGAGCTGGCTCGCACAACCTAGTTCAGTTCTATGTATCCCCACAGATGGGTTTTCACACAAGACTTAATCTTATCACTACTTTTCTTTCTTGGTTGGAATTTCATGTGCTGTAAGTTGTAGCTGTTGCATTTTGTCCTGCCCCTGTATGCCTCTGAGAAGAGCCTGACTCTATGCCCTCCCATGAATGAGGTAACTGTAGACAGCAGTAAGATCTCTCAGCTCTCTGTTATGGTTTTCCCAACCATCCATCCTCATTGCTCTCTGCTTGGCTTTCTCATACTGTGTAAGGTGAGATTGGATGTGGTATTCCACATCTGCTCTGACAGAGGTGTGAGGTATGAACAGAGGGTTGGAACTGTCTGATTTGCTGGCTCCAGAGCCTGCTGTTGCAGCACAGCCTGTGCTGGCTCGTGTTCAACTTCTACAGTGCTGTTCCCCAACTGTAGTGTTGCTTCAGAGGCTGCACGTGTTAGTACACATAAACTTAGTAAACTGCCCCTCAAGGATTAAGGGGTGCTGGTAAAGTTAATGTAACCCCTGCACCTCTGGCTTGAGAAAAGGAAGGAATACCCACTTGTCCAGGTGTGGGACCACAGCTACATCACTAGAGGGCAATGGAGCATGAAGGCAGATAAGGCCACTGTGTCTGCACTGAATGTACGAGGAGCTGGAATAGGATGCCATTTTATTGCAGCTAGAAGTGGGTGATGACTAAGTTCCTTTTGGCTTAGCTAAGGCAACTGGATAGCGCTGTCCTAGGATGCCCTTTCTAATAGTTTGCAGGGCTGTTAAGGTGAACCTTCTTCCTGCTTGGGGAGTAAACTAATCTCCTTGTGTAGCAGCAGCAAAAGCTGTAACAGCAAGAGTCAGACTTTTCTAGCTGCCACATGCAGTTAAGTAAAAACTACTGTATAAGCAAGAATGAGTAACAAAATAGCTGTTGGAGGGAGATAATACATTTCTCTTAAGAGATCGGAGTGCCACTGCTCAGAAGATGGTTACAATAGTTCCTGAACTCCCTGCAGCACTGACCTTGTGTGGCTTCAGGATAGTAGCTCATCCCTTGCATAGGTGGAATTTAGGTGACTTGTGCTGGACTCCTGGCATCCTTCTGCCAGGAAGCTTAACCTTATAGCATGTAACATGGTAATCAACAGTCTAGAAACTTGGAAGTTGAGCTGAACCTTCATTTTGGTACTAACAAACAAAGAGCCAAGCCAAGGGCTAAACTATGGGCTTTATTTTTCCACAGCAGACAATGTAAAACTTGCAGTTGTTTCACAGCACCTTGTTATACTGACACTTTCCCTTCAGTTTTGAGGGATTTAGATATTTGTTGATGGCAAATGCCTTTTCCTTTAATTCTGGAGGGATGGTGACACTGACTTCAACCTCTCTTTGCTCCTCAGCTAGACAAGCTTGTTAAGTGTTGCATAAACAATAGTCAGGCACTCAGTTAATAAAATCAAACTTTATTCCCCGGAATTCCTATACCAACATATAGAATTCTGAGCTGAACAACTGATACATATGTACAGCTTCAGCAGCTGTGAATAGAAAAATTACTGCTTACATAAACTTCAAAAGATAAACTCTCAAAATACATGTCTGCTTCAGCCACCAGCTTCTTGCTGTAGGTTCAGTTCTAAATATCCTGCTTCTCTTGAAGCTTCAACTTCTGTATTAAAAACTGCAACCATCAGCTTTAAAAAATGAAAGCAAAGACAAATCTAAGAAATAGATTGAAGTATTCCACTGATGTGGAACCAGTCCTTACCTTTTCCTAACTATTAGAAATGTATACAAATACACTGTTTCTCTTGGGTAGACAACTGGAAAAGAAGGGGAAGTCTAACAACTCTTATAGCATCACCCTTGTACCTGAATTATTTAAACATTTGGCATAAATTCCTTTTAAAGTCCTGACTATGCACAGTGATGCTGCCCCCAGTGTACTGGTCAATCAGGGTAAATTGGTGTGACAGACACCCAAAATTCTTCAGCCATGCCCTGGTTTAACAGCCTTTTCTCATGGGCACATGAAAGGGAGATGAAGAGTTCGTGGTGCACCTGAAGGCTGGGGGAGCAAGAAGAGGTGGTGGAACTGCCACAACCCCGTTTCATCAAAGATGCCGTAACAGTGCAGTGGAGCAACATGTTTAAGTGCACTGCAAGAGGCAGGAGGCATTGAGATGCTTTCCTTTATGCCTGAAACTTCTTCCTGTTTCTGGGCTCTGAATGGGATGCTGCAACACGCAAAACTGAGCTGTCCCAGCTGTGACTGTTGTCACTTGTCACTGACAAGTTGTGGTTGCTGTGGCAAGCTGCTAGTCTCTGTGTAGCTCTGATGATCCTGGTGGGTGAAAGAGCTCTGTGTGCCCTCCACCAGTGCAGGCTGTCACTCACAGCACACATACAACATCCCTCTGTACAGCCCCAGGCCCAAGTCATGAATTGTGTTGCTCTGAGACCTGCTTTGCTTTCTCCCAGGACAGGCAGCTAGTTCCTTCTTACGAGGTAGAGCATGCTTCTATAAATAACATCCTACTTCAAGAATGAGAGTGGCATCTAGAAATAGGCATTCTTGCATCATTTTGGGTAATGCTGACTAACTGCATATTTAATCAAGTAACACAACCAAGCAGGCATGCCCTCTAGGCCTGAAGGTGAGACAAACTATCCAGTCATGTGAGCTTTTTCCACTCAGCTGAAGAGACACAGCAAGTGGCAGTACTCCAGCCCAAGTGCATGCGTGCTACACCATGGAGACCGTGGTGTCAGTTGTCTTAAAGAACTCAGTTCTGGCTCTTCAGCATTTTGTCCTTCAAACACATGGACTCATTCATGTCAAGGTGACCCAAACAGGAGCCTGCATGAAGTTACAACTCTGTGCTCAGAGCCAGCAGTCTCCCTTACATTAAGTAATTCTAACGGTGCTTAGCTTACTCCAGTGCTTCTTGAAAGCCATTATAAAATAATAAATGCTGCATGGTCTCCCTAAACCCAGTAACTATATACTTTTATCTCAAATGAAGGCATATCTCAGGCTTTAAGCCATACAAGGTAGGGGGTAAACACTTCCTACTTTTATAAGCACGTTCACTGGGACAGAGTACACAATTCAGACACCAACTGCCACAACCTTGGAAAGTCGCAGAGCGGAAAGGAGCTGGAGAAGGCCAGGGGGTTAGGTGAGGGATATATAGTATCAGCAAGAGTATTCTGTTATTTTGAGTCAGAGGCTTGCCAGCAACAAGTGGGGAAGTTTACCACCACAGCACAGAATTTAAAACCGTGCTTTGCCTTAAACAAATCACAGCTTACCACTGTATGTTACACTACACCCAACAGGTCAACGTAAATCTTTTTAGCACCATTACCGGTCAGGAAAATACATTTATGACACACAATGTACCTAGAGCAGAATCTGCAAGGTGGAGATAGTTCTGCTGGTCCAATTCAAGCAGCATGTACACATCTCTATAAAAATCACCTGAATTTAAAAGGTTACAAATCTTAAACTGAAGGTTGAGTTCCTAAAATTAGGTCACTGATTTGGCCCTGCTCAGACCAGGTTTTTGATCGTTTATTTAAATGATCCTCAAACAACCTTTTGTTCTCCATCTGCTAGAAGGTATCAGTAAGAATCTACTTGTTTCATCATAAGTTTGCGGCTGTACTCATAGGCAAGGAACAGTGCCCCGTTGGCCAGGAATGCACGGATCATAGTTGGCTTGAGTCCAGAATACAATGCAAGTACACCTGGAAATTAAATCAGAGCCAGTTAGTAATAATATTGTGCATCTGCTTCAACCACTGTGCTTTTACCTTTGAAGGATACTGCCGTAATGCTGCCATATAGAGGGGCATGCACACAGAAAGCTGAACTCACAGAGCTGCTAACTGCAGTGGTACTGGGTATTGATATAGAAGGAGTATCTAGAGCTGTAACATGAGTTTAGCCACTTAAGTGCTTATGTTAGAAGCTTATCTCAGGTATGAGAGGGTCTTCAGAAGAGTAGCCCAGTCACCTGAGGATACAGTTCACAGCAGCTGTACCACAGCTGGCAAGGGGACAGAAAGAACAGCAGGACTAGGTTGGAGCTGTCCCAAAGTCAGACCCCTGCTCTGATGAGTACCTCCCCTAGCAACAGGGCCAGGAATTCATATCTACATATTCTTACACCACCTTCTGAAGTGCCTGGGGCAGGCCTTTTCCTGTCTCGGAGATGAGACACTGAGGCAGATGCCCCGAGTTGCCAGGCTAGATAGGACTGATTTATCAAACAGCTCTCAGACAGCCATATATAATCTTCCAGAGGTGAAGAAAAGTTGTCACGTATAGGTTTGGTTGTGGGTAATGGAGCTCATTCCTTTATCTGCTTTTAATGCATACGGAGCTTTTGTTAGCTTTAAGTAACTTGCCTCCTGACCAAGAGGCATGGCAGATGCAGTAGGTCTCAATCTAGACTCCAAGCTTTCCAGACTACATGAAGCATCAATATTTCTGTTTGTTAGAAACAGTTACTGTCTGTCTCTAACACATATCAGCACACTAGATTCCTTAAGCAATTTTTTGTATTGGAGGGTATAGATTTCAATCTGCAGCCCTACAGATTCAGTTGATAACGCTGTGTACTCACCTTCAGTTCTCACAACAGTTACAAATGTTCCCATAAAGCCTGTCTGTTTTCCAGCCATTGAAAGAACCTGAATTCTAGATTTGACACAGTCCACAGGATACACAGCAATCCACAGACAGCTGCCTCCAAAACCTCCACTTAGTAGCAAAGGAATGGGACCTAAAGTTAAGAAATAAGCTTTTATACACACCAAATATTCACCAATAGAAGTATCATGTTATTTCATCTACAGAAGTCAGAGAGAACACAGAGGAACCTGCTTATGGCAAAAGAGCAGTTTCCGCTCCCTCACAAACCTTTAAGTTAATTTTAAGCCACTGGTAAGTTGCAAGTCTAACTAGAAGCTCAAAGGTTATAAGGAGTGCCTCCTTGTTTATGGGCCACGCTAAAAATGCATAACTCAGAATTCTGTTTTGACTGTATTAACTAGATTAACTCCACTCCTCTGACACTTGTAATAACTTTCCAATGTTAACTATGAAACAGTTTAGAGTAACAACTCATAGTTTCACTTACAGAGATTTGGTATAGTGAAGTTACTTTGTGATTAGTCATTTTTCACAATGCAATCTCATTCTGTGTTTCAGATCAGATGTTTATAAACTTTTTGCAACAACAAAGACCAGAATGCATACAGCTGAAATCCTAACTCCCAACAAGACGAAGTATGACTGTGCAGTCTTTCAACAGGAGACAAGCAATCTTTATTCTGGCATCTCCTCATTTTTTTCCATGTCTAATTTTCAATCTTGGTGTTCTCTTACTGTCATTATAATGACAACTAACGGTCAGCATACATTTCAGCATACACCCAAACATACAGTTCAATACAGCTAAAGATGTCAAAATCGCTCTAAGCAGCTTCTGAAATGAAGTAGTTCAGAGTTGCGTTACAGTGTAGAGTCAGATATTTAAGTAGTTTTGTAATATTACTCACTGTATTTATTCTCCATCTACAATATATCCTGCTCCATTGGAAAGTGGTCACTTCAATAATGCATTATTATATATACACAAAATGCAGACCTGTATGCCCAGTTTCCTTTTTTTACAACTGCTAGGCATTATTAGCGTATCTTCCTCCCTTGTGCCTCCCATGACAGCAGGCTAGAATCCACCTGGAAAAAGGGGCACCGTACCTAATTCATCTTTTGATCTCCCAGCGGCAAAGAATGTCCGACTCAGTTCATATCCTCCAAAGAAGAAGAAATAGCCTGGGACTTCCCGCAGCAAAGTGCTTGACAGGCCACGGTAAAATCCAAGGGGACCATCCTTTTGAATAACACCCTTTACTACTGACCAAACTGTACTGAGAGAGGTTGATCCAGTTAGTGATGCCTAATAACCAAATAATAAGAAGATTACAGAACAATAAGCAAACTGCAGCTACAATTAAGGGTTAGATCCATTGTGTAGACAACAGAACTCAAGTAAGACAGATCAAGATCCTGCCAGGAGCCGTTCACTGGTGCATGAAAGATTTCCAGCCTGCGACCCTCCCAGCCACAACTCGTCTCTGGTTAACCGCGCACTACAAACGTGACACTGAGTCAATACAAAATTAAAAATAATAAATACACATAAAAGGATTTTAGGGATACTGTGCAGGGTGTATACTTACTTGTGTCCCTGGATTATCTTTCCCGACAACTGCATTTCATGCATGGCCTGCAGCCGGCACTTCACCAGCTCTGTGGGGCACAGGACAAGGGTGGCAAAGGCAGAGGCGAAGGAGCCTGCAGCAGCATTCTGCAGATCACTGCAAGAGAGAAACTGCAGAGGGTATTTGGGCACTGACCTTCAGTGCAGTGGAGCTGCTGCACCAGCAATCAGCTTCCTGAACCTGTACTCTAAATATCGTCAAGAAAAACTAATAGGCAGTTTTGGGGGAAGGAGTGTCAAGGGAAAAGGACAGTTACTTGAACTGGGGAGATGAAAAAACTTAGCTCATCTCATCTTCACATACAACTGAAATACATTCTTTTGACACCTGAGAAGATATATCGCAACCTTTACCCTTCTTGCTATACTTTAGTGATTGCAGCAGAATAAACACTATCAAATCTTCCCCTTCTTGACTTTCATAAATGTTTCTGTAGACTTGTTTTACTGGGCAACTTTTGGGTACTAGTTACTTCCCCAAAGAAAACAGGAACAATAATCACCTCGTATAGACATCAGTATTCCCAAATTCACCTTGCCAGTATTAATACAGGTTTTCAGTGGAAGATACTAGAAACCTGAAACCAAGGCACAACGGACTACCATAATCTATGGATGTGCTGCCATGAATGCAACCATGTGAATCTAAGATAGCGCAGTCAAATGTAAACCACACCACTGAACAGGACAGCACTGTAATCTGCATTGACTCACAGTATTCCAAAACTGGGACTTGCTTTGCGGTGATTTCACACATACCGCTAAGTCTGGGCTGCTAAGCCACCAGAACTCAAAAGGCTGGTACTCCAGGATCACACTGCTTTATGATGTACGTTTAAAACAGGCTCCTACAGAGACTGGTGCATTGGACAGGAGCTGCATGATAGGACAGAACAAGCTCTTCTTTCAGAGCCTGGGGAGTCAGCGCAGTGAAGACTGACCTTGCTGCTGCACTGAATGTCCTTCCGTGCACGGGAGACGTTAGCCCAGTGCCCAGCAGTTTTATACGCCTACAGTATCAGAGCTTAAAGCTACAACTTTTCACCTCACAGAACTAAAGTTGTGACATGAAACAAAGTTGGTGACATTCAGATACGGCAGTGACAAGAACTGTCGAAGTGGAAGAAATCAGTAACTGCCTGCAGAGCAGCAATTGAATAATATGCAGTAAACGAGATAGCAACACTGATTGCACAAGGCTCTCGCAGTGCGCACACGGCTTGGCGTGACAGGGATCTGAGATGCAACCCACTGAAGGTCAAGACAGAGCAAGGCAGAGTTAAAAATACAGTACATGGCTGAGTTCTGCAGTAATTACGCTATGAGCTAGAGCAAGGCAATAAGGTTACACAATGAAGAATTAGGATAGGAATGTACGGAAGAGGTGCCTAACTATGCACTAAAGAGTGCACAGGATCCTTCCTCCTTCAAGAGAAAAAAACCCCACCAGATGCTATCAGTCTTGAAAAGAATTCTGACACATAGACACAAAGGACTAGATTTAGCCATAATTCAGATCTTTTCTACTTTCACCTGTTGATGTTGAACTCTACATACAAAAATTCAACTAGACCCACTGCTTAGGCTTTGGTCTTTAGTATAGTGAGCCTCACTGCAGAAGTGGTAAGCCTTGAATCCTGTTCAAGTTCCTTCTCTACTCAAAATGCCTAATTCAGTATTTTTTCTGGATGGGAGAGTTTTGATCACACAGCACAGGAGCAAGAACCCTCTACTCTTACACTGCTGCTTCTTCTGTAACAGGCATTTATCTTGTTTCTTCAAAGAAAATAACCTGCTGAAGATGACTAGTCACGTACTGAGAAAGTCAAACTGAGGTGAGCAAGGATAATAGTCCTCTCCGTTTAGACTTTGGCACGCAACGGAATCAGATTGGTTGAACTAAATGGGCATTTAAAGACAAATGGAATTTAGCGCTTCTCTTT